ACTAATTGGTCTGAAGTATGCCCTGAGTACCGGGATTTTTAAAAGCACCCTGGGTGATTCTCATGTCCAGTTACAGCTGAAAGTCACTGCTACAGATACACTTGCATATGTGCAAAATATACCCAGGGTTATATTCACTGAGCTTTATTCTAATACCAGAAGGTTAGGAATAACCTGAGTCCCCATCAAGAGGGGCTGGATGAACAGATAATGATGCCGGTCAGCCATTAAGGACCACCCAGCTGTAACAGGAAGGATGACCCTCTCTGTATGCTGAGAGGGTGTGTTCTACAAGATACATCATGAATAAGCACAGCTGGGTACAGACGAGTGTGCTCAGAACAATACTACTGGGGGAGGGGTGTAAAAATATATTTGTATTTATTTGTATGGTGTGAAAACCTCTGGTAGCTCATCTAAGAAAAAAAGAACAGTGATGGGGGTTGGGATAGAAGCAGACAGGCCAAGGAGCTGGGGAGGGAGAGTTCACTGTATACCTTTTTAGTTTATTTCACTTTATTTCTGAACCTTTTAAATGCATTCTTTACTCAGAATACTAAACTACCACCCAAAACGGGCTTCCATATCTATTTGGCTGCCTGTCTCCAGGGTGCCCAAATGTGCTGAGGTTGTGGAAACCCCGTTTCCTTCTGCCTTTGATTGTTCTCTCTCTATTCATTGTTGCGATCGCCCTCTACTGGAATGAAAACAAAATTAGGTTAAAAAAAAAAAAAAAACAACCTAATTTTGAGCCCCTTTCTGCCCCTAAAGCAAAAACAAGAAAAAAATAAAAAAAAAAGGAAAAAATAAAAACCTGCAGACCAGACAGAGGTAAATAGTGTGTGTAAATATTTGTTTAAATTGAGACCCACACGATATAAAAAGCAATCTCATTCAACTTATGCCTCTTTAAGAGAAATCAAAATATGTGGCACTTAGCCCTTGTAATGTGCTGGGTACTGTTACGAATTAGGGGAATGGGCTGAGTGCAGTGCCTCATACCTATAATCCCAGAACTTTGGGAGCTTGAGACCAGCCTGGACAACATTATGTAGAGACCTCCATCTCTACAAAAAAAAAAAAAAAATTTTTTTTTAATTAGCCAGGCGTGGTGGTGGGCACCTGTATTCCCCCTGCTTGGGAGGCTGAGGCAGGAGGATCCCTTGAGTTCAGGAGTTGGAAGCTATAGTGAGCTATGACGACATCGCTGCACTGCAGTCCTGGTAATAGAGTAGACCCTGTCTCCAAAAATAAATAAATAAATAAATAAAATTGGGGGAGTAGTACAAATTTACTCATTCATTCATTTATTCATTCCCGGCACTGTGCTCACTGTGTGGGCAGGGGCCACACTCTCACTTGCCTGTAGGGGGCAGGCATGTAACACAAATGAACCAAGTGCTCAGCGTGTAAGAAAATGTTTTCTGGAAAAGGCAATCTTCTCTGTTCTACCTTCCTCTGGGTGTCAGGTTCATCTTCAGAACAACTTCTCCACCGAAAAAGGCCATGGTTCTTGGCTCCACCCTAGTGCTGTGCGTAAGAGTCCCAGGCCTCTAGTTATTTGCTCCAAGCAAAAAATCTAGATTTCTTGGAGAAATCTCTTATTCTTAACCTTTGGCCATAAAAGTTTGACATTTGGCTCGGTGCCTATAGCTCAACCG